ACTGACTTTATTTTCCAGTTTGAGGAAGTTTTTTCCAGTCGGTATCTACTTTAGTTGATATATGTCGTAGGGAGGGTTGTTGCACCTTGCACGTTTCATCATTGTTGGAAGTGTGGCTGATGGCAGCATTCAACTGGCCAACATTTTGTTTTATGGCAGTGGTAGCCAAGATATGCTGAGTGCTGATCTGATACCATTGTTTCATTAATAAGCTGTATGCTTCACCGTGTGGACCTGACTGGAGTCATTCTCTTATGTGGCGACATCAGACTTCATTTCGACATTGCTTTTTCTAATTTTGTAAAAACAAAATGTCACAAATAAATACATGGATATGAATTTACTGCATTTTTATTTATCATTAGATAAAAAAAATCCTCAACATTGATTACAATTCAAGTGTGAACCTTCTGAATGCAGCAACAAATTGGTCAAAACCACAACAGGAATTATATTTTAAAGAAAATACAACTGCATAAAATGCAAACATTAAATCACATTAAGCACTCTCATGCACTTCATTTCCACGTTGTTCTGCGTCACGTGTAATAGTGATACATGATCCCAGGAGAGGTTGTAAAGAGTCTTGAGAATACGTTTCTAAAACGTTATACTTAATAACCTGTGGCGCTAACCTTAGCAGAGTATGTTAGCAGCTAGTGTTAGCACTTCTATGCTACGCTAGCTACTGAAGGAATACTGCATGTCTACACGTGGTGCGCTTGCTTTTGAATGATTGTAACAGTGAAAAAAGACTGACCCGGCTTTACAGGAACAGTGTTGGTCCTCAACTTCATTGCCTTCTGTCTCGATCACCAGATAATGTTCTCGTTCACTTTGACACTGTGACCTGTAGGCTTTAGCTTCTTAACCCGTTTCATTGCTGATCATTTTGACATCCTGGATATATCCCTCTAACGCACAATGTAGACCCTGCATTGAAACACCCAAATAGGCGTATCTGGACTGCGTGTTCTATCGTCCTACTAACATCATTGCTCATCAGTCTTCCCCCCCCCCCAAGGACACGGATGTCTCTCCCGTAGTTAACATCGAGATTGAAAGCGACACAAGTTCGTGGTGAGCACTTCATCCCTAGAGTGCTCGAGCAGGATCGAAATGTACGATCCTTAAAAAGGTCATCGGTGCCAAGTTTAACTTTTGAAACATCCACAACACAAGTTGAGTAGCCACTGTGAGGGTTTGGGCTGTTTTTGCTTGAAGGCAACAAGAAGAAATCACTTCAAATAGACTAGAGATTTAGAGTTGGCCCCGGGTTTTAAGTCGGCGGGTAGGCCAATTATTTGTCGCGTATTTGTCCCTCATCCACCAACACCCACATTTATGTTGGCATTAGCCTTAAAGCTAATCTGAAGGTAACAGTCTTTGGTGAGTGTGTGTACATGTGTGTGTTTGTATGCATGCATGTCTCAATAGTGTCACTAAGCTCCTACGATGAGAGCTGCCCCCAAGTCTCCAAATCCTGCTTTAGAGCTGTGTGTGTGTGTGTGTGTGTGTGTGTGTGTGTGTGTGTGTGTGTG